AATATTCAATACAAAAACAAAAAAAAAAAATATTTCGATAAGGTTATATCGATAAGATTTTTTGCATTTTCAGATCCATAGCCTAGGTGGAATAGAAAACTCACATATCCGGAATTGTGCATTAAGTGCTGTAATATTTTTCATTGCTGTAGTTCAGAGAACCTAAGAAACAGTAAAGTATATTTAAAAAAAATATTTTTATTTATAATACAATAACTCCTTTTAAATGTTTACAAGTAGCAATCGATTTAAGTATCAATATTTCAATAACGTCAGTTTCTGTCTGGGTATAAAACATGTTTGTTAGAATTTGAAAGAGAAGATAATTAAAACTGAATATGTAAATACCTCAGTTTTATATATATTTTTAGGGAATAAATATAAAACCTAATAATTAATTCTGTAAATCACTTGAGCTGAATAGAATATTTAATGAATAAATGCTACCCGGAAACCTTGGCAGTTACGAACCCCCATAATACAACATGTCAAATATTTATCATCATTCCCATTCCTCATTCTTCTCTCCTTCGACCCCTCTGAACCTCTTAGGTATTTATTGGAGTATGCATCTTATATTGTCGGTATTTCAAGTGTTACTACTAAATAATAGTGATCTAAAATGTTTAATACTTTTAATGTTTGATGTATGTTAACCTGATTTATTTACACTAGCTTTCTAAATTACTCTCATGGTTGATGTTGACAAAAACAGTATAAGTTGATATAAAAAAAAAACGCAAGAATGAAGAGCGTCGGTTAAAATCCTGCCTAGGAGAGATGACTTATTTCGTGACGATTCAAGATAATAAATCTCGACCTCAGCACTCTATCTATAAATTCCCTAGAAAAAGCAGTCCCTAGTTATAGTCCAACAGGACGTTAACACATTAAAAAAAAAAAGTTGCAAATTATGTCACAATGGTTTATTATTTCCAAACAATTACATATCTAAAGTAACATTACCTTCCGAGTTACAAAGAAAAAACAAAAACAAAAGGTGATTCCAATTATTGGACTAAACTGTTATTCTTTAATCATTAGTAATATGCTAAAAAAAAAATAGCATTAGTTCAGTAACACATTCAAAATTCAAATACCAAACCAAGGATATTGTTATATCCTTGGTCTGGTTTTTAACATTTAACATTTGGAGTAGAACATATAAAAAAAAAACCGGAGACCATATCTTTGCCCCTAATAGTCCGATTTTAACGATTTTTTTTTGTTTTTTAGGAAATAACGTAAACAATAAAATAACCATACAATATCAACAAAAAAGTAAAAACTTTTCGAGTTATTCGGAATTTAATTTTACCACCCCTTGTAACTTTTTTTCCAGCTTCTTTTCGTTGAAGTATGTTATATAGATAAATTTAAAGGGTGTCGAGAAAATGACTTTAGCGAAGTTTCATTCAAATCTGTACATTCGTTTAGGAGCTACAGTCTATAGCAACGCAGGCTTTTCGGCCGCCATTTTGAGAGTTAAAGGCGGAGAGTAATGTCGACGAAGGAGGATCATTCCCGGGTGACCTCTGATTTTATATCAAAATTTGAAAAAAATCGGTCCAGTAGTTTCGGAGAAAATGCGCGGACGGCGGACGGACAAAAAAATTTTTATTCTTTTTTCGAATTCTACGTGTCCTGACACGTGAAACCTCAAATTTTTAGTGGGGATTAAATTTTTTATTTTTTTGGTCGATCACAATGGTTGATTATTGAAAATAATTAACCAATAACAAATGTAATGTAAGAAGGCTACAACATTTAACACAACCAATGAGGTAAGATATATTTATAGAATCAATACGCCTCATAACTATCACGCCTTGAAGATAAAATATAGGATGCAATAGTGCTAATTTATCATTAGGAGAGAGAAATATTTTATTGAAAGTAAATCTGCCCAACTACATAGGGTTGCTTTATAGGCTTTATACTGATCAATCCACATGGATTATATTACATTATATTATTCCATTACTTTATAAACCTTTTTTTTTTTTTTTTTGTCTCCCTTTCCATAACACTGGTCATATACAATATCTCTCATATACCACATTAAACAATTACCATTATATAACACATATATTTTCTGAATGCAAGAAATACAAGTCTAAATCGCGCACACATATACAACGCAATTCCGCAAATATAGATAAAAATATAAGATAAAGCTAAAAATTAAAATTGAATAAATAAATTGATAAATGACAAAAGACATCGTAAATTTACAGTCAATTACTAGACAAGTGATAATGGATGACCCTCAGGGAGTGCAGAATAATATTCTCGGTCAATATCGCAAACTGCTCGGCATAAACACCCAGTTCCTCAAGGAAGTTCTTTTTGGGATCGTATAATATTGAATATTTGAACATAAATTTATGTATTTTTTTGGAAGTTGTAGAGCATTTTTATGTGTTTATGATTATTGGCAATACCCTATCGTATAGAATATCTAAGGTGAATTAAGTATATCACCAGATCGCTAGCAGTATCCTCAGCTGCCGTGAAGTGGATAAAAATACCAAGATGCACGTCTATAAGTCTGTGTACCTGCCTATTTTCACCAATGGCGGAGAAAGTTGGATTATTTTGGACAAAGATTATAGTCGCATAACAGCAGCGGAAATGCGATTCCTACGTAGATCGGTGGGCAAAACTAGGAGGGATCGCATTAGAAATGAAACAGCTGGAAGTGCCTGAACTCAAAACCACCTTGGAGTACAGGCAATTAAGGTGGTTTGGACATGTCTGCCCCACATGGCTCGACCCACAGGGAAGAGGCCACGAGGGCGTCCCAGAGTCTCATATCAGGAGTTCATGGAGAGGATCGGAGGTAGAAGAGGCAAATCCTTCAACCAGATGAAGTGGTTAAGCAGAGACCGGGAAGAGCGGTTGCGCTGGATAGAGGCTCCTCGACGGTAGAAATGGCATTGTGAGGAAGAAAAAGACAATATATTGAAAATATCTGAACAAAACAATCGGATTTATTACAATTTATATCCATTAAAAATTAAAGAAAGCGGGGGAGGGAGTAGTTTCACAACATAGGTACATTTCGATAGCTTTTCCAGCAACAAATGAATAATATTTAAAATAAGAAAAATTATTTTTGATTTCGTGGCTTGTATAACCATTTATAACAAAAATACAATATGTTTACAGTCTATTTATGTAAAAATGTCTATAAAGACATTCTCTATAAAATATATTTATACTTGTTAAATAAAGTTTTCCAAATTTATCGTAAAAAGTTTATAAGAAAATCACGTGAAAATGGAGGTGCACCACATGAGAGGTGAATGAATCATAAAATCCAATCAAATTTTTCTATATAAATACCCCTGAAGATAAATACAAATTTAATATTTGGAGTATTTAGTTACGCACTTACTTATAGGTCAGATAGTGGAATTTTCTCGATCGATTTTAGTTTACATATTTTATTCATCCATGTATCTTAGTTGTTATCAATTTGAATTTCTTTTTTACTTCAAATTATTGGATAAAGCGATATTCTTGACCCCTAAACATTTTATTGGCGGGGGGAGGGGAGAGGAGATCGCTCCTCTCTCCCCGCCGTAGTATGTGCCTATGTTCACAGTTTATTTTTATTATCTACAATCCATTTACATTCTGGAGTTAACAGAAACATTTATTTATGTACATCTCCCTTTTCCGGCTCTGAGAAGCAATCGATTTTGATGAATGATGTATTAAACGGAAGGGAATTTCATGAATAAGTAACGAAGCCCAATTTCGATCCTTCAACTCCTACAACTTTTGTAAGAGATAATGAAAAAAAAAATCTGGTGCGCGCATCACACGACTTTAACTTACCACACCCTTCTTAGCAGAAATAAGTATTTTCAGACTAAGGGGAAGTGAAAGTAAAAGATATTGACGCTATATTTATTTACGATTCATTGTGGGTATTTTTATTTGTTTAAATACTCGTATATATACAAATTTTAATTTTCATATCTTTGCATTCTATGCAATTAAATATTAAATAATACAAACGATAGCATTTATGAAAACCGCATATGTATATGAACATAATATTGTTGGAGTCCGTATTATATGAAGCTCATGTTACGTATGGAAGGCTGATACATATATACACACACACTCACACTCACCATTTTGCTAGACAAAATTATAAGAAGTATAAATATAATAATAACATAGTAATTTAATAATAAGAAATATAAATAACAACAAAACTTAAAATAACAAGATAAGTGGAGATAGCAGCCCATAGAGGCCTCGTCGCTCACAAGAACGCATGGTTATTTGGTCTCAGGAGACCTCAAAGCATGTACTTACGTTGAAAACTCAGACTCGATAATTTTCACGATCGCAATACCTATCCTTACTATATATTTTACAAATAGGTGAGTGAAAGTAAAACAAATTGGGAGGTTTTAACTCATATGGTTTCAAAAGTAGACGGTTCGAATTCCAAAGGACCTATACTACAGTTTTAAAGTCTTAAAATGTACCGTTTTCGTGATAAAACAATTCTTGCCAATGTTGGTTTATCATCAACGTGTTTCTTGACAATATTTTGATTTCAGAAAGGGAAAATTCATTCAAGTTCTTATTTATATAAGGTTATAGAATGTCAAGTACTTTTTGCAACCAACCGACAATATTATGTTCCAAAAATTTCAGCGTGGACATTCAAGTTTTCCTCCTGAATATAATAAAATTATACCAGTCCCTGCGTTATAAAGCTCAAAAATGCCTCGTTTTCGAGATAAATACTAACACTTTCCAAATGTCTTTTGAAATACAAACCAAGATAGCTCTTCTGCGCCAAAACATAGGATTTGAGCGAATATAAAAATTTATTAGTTTTAGCTCAGGAATAGCTGTGTCTACTTGCTTAAGTAATTAACCAGAGAGATGTTTTCCATCGGAATTAACTAATAACTTATTAAATAAATTTTTATTAACAGTCGTAATAAAGTATAACGCTTCAATAATTTGATGTGTTGAGTAAATTATCAATAATAATATTATATTGTATACACGGATATAACTAGTGAAAATTCTCACAGGAGTACACTAGTTTTAATTAGGTTTCTTTTTCTACCCCAAAGTAGGCCTTTGATCCATTTTATTCATAGATAACATAAACAATTAGGTTAGGCTTAAAAGACAATAAAGTAATAATTAGCTTTAGCCACAATAAAAACTATTTTAATTACAAAACATTAACCAGACCACACATTACATTTCTGAACCCACAGAATCAAGGTACTCTACTGGCCTTTTGAACGAAGAAAAATATCGAAGCAGCAATATCACCGAGACCATCAGCAAAGTGGGACGACCTAAGGTGTCGTAGTACTGGGAAGAGAGTATGCAGACGAAGAACTGTTTGAGGCCTCCTAAGAAGGATCTGCTTTTGGTCTGCACAACAGCTGATACGGAAAATTTCTTCGCCTCGTCTTTGACTTCTCGCTTTAGATCGGCAGGATCCCCCAGTTTCGTTCTGTAAGGCCATAAGCGCTCGGACGACAAGGAGGTAGTTACTCCCAAGGTGTAGCAGCTCTTGGATTGGACCGTCGGTTCCACAAATCGCTGGTCGATCTGCTTACGGATCCGATGAGGCTTCTGCTTCTTATCCTTCTTGAGGTCATTGGTCCTAAATCGTGTCTTTTCTAGCTTCTGTCGGCGGATGGACTGCAAGTACCGTGCCACTTCATGTTCCAACTTTCTATTCGCTTCTTTAAAACATGCTTTAAATTTGTGGTCTATGTCGATCCATGCATTGATTGGCGTTTCTCTGAAGAAGAAGAGGTCTTTGTGAGGCGGTATGTTCCATTTAGGTAAGTATCGCTTTTTGTGCATTGTGCGATATGTTCGAAAAGTGTTTATGATAATCCGTGTTAAAAAGTGTTTTAGATAATTTGTGTTGGATTACTTTGTTGTTTACATTTTATATGTGAATATTAACACATGTTAAAATAGAAGGTTTTGGGAGGGTTCACATGGTTTCTGATTTTCTTATCACAGCAATGTCAAAACTTCATTTATATGTTTTTTTAATTTGGGAAGTAAATAAAGTAACTTTTATTTATATTCAAATACATAATTATACAAAGTATCCCGTAAGTAGAGGGACATTTTTATAGCCCTGATAGCAGACCTAAAAAACTTCACATAAACCATGGGCCAATTTTAAGCAAAAAATAAGAAAATCCAAGTTTTGTTTATTTTGAAGTAAGTCATGCATTTTGTTGAATATAAAACGATAACTAAAGAAATATTTAATTTACGTAATTAATAGTTGCTTAAAAATCATAATCTATTAACGATATTTTTTTTTATCTTCAGCCAACTATACTACAGGTATCCCACATTTCAAAAAACTTCCACATTTAAAATCTTTAAGCCCATATTGATTAAATTGAAGGTTTATTAGGAAAAACTTGAGGTGAAGCATGGCTTTTCAGAATTGGCAAGCCTTCTTGTTTAGTTGCTCAATTGATCAATTGCAACAGTTGTGTAATAAAATCCGGTCATCGCGTTAGCGACTTGATTTTCTCCATTAACTTCTCGTTCTTCATTTACCGTAGTTTTTCTTTGATTTATAATTTTATATTACTTTCCAGGGTTATTACGGAGTCTTAAGTATGAATGTATTTTTAATTATTTTATTTTTTATTTAATGTTGTCGCGTGTTTGATTTATTCTGTTATTCCAAGTTTTCTTTTGTTTTTCCTTTATTGTATGTATGGCATGATTGTGTTTTATACATCCCAAATACTCAATGCTCTTAATTGAGGCAAAATATTTTTTTTCTCAATAAAAGTATTTTTTTTTTAAATTACAGACTAAGTCCTCTATGGGTTAACTGGGTTGTACCGAATATAAATTGATAAGATCGATGGTTTAATTTATAACAGATCTATATGTTTATGAATGGTAAAATAAGTCAGGAAAAAAAAGTATTTCTCAAAAGAATATGCAATGTTTTTTTCTGGTATTCTTAGAATGATTGAAAGTAGATAAATTTGCAGAAAGACAATAGTTACTACACCATGTGAATTATCACCGTTTCGTAAAAAGTTATTATTACATGTTTTATATTTATAAACGTTTATGAAAAAATTATATTTTTCATTAACTCCTCCTTATAATGTATAAGATATTATAATGTATACACTGCCGTTGAACTACCTAAATTTTTATTGCCCCCTCTTCTTTCCATCCTTAGTTTAATCGCTTTCTTTTCATCTCTATTGATTTCTTGGTTTTCAATTTCTCTCCTTTTTGTTTTAATTTTATTGATTGTTATTCATTATCTGGATTCATGCCAATCTTTCTTGTAATTTTACTACATAATTTCAATACTTTAATATATTATTTTTTATACAAGATTTTTTATTTAGCAGGAATTTATTCGGTTTTGATAAATTTATTTCAAGAAGCAAGAGGATGTATTTTATTTTTGTTATAATCAAAAGTAAGAGAAACATTTCTATTTTTTTTTAATCCTAATAATAATCATAAAATATATAAATAATTATTAACATCCAATAATTCTAAGGAAATCATAGATGTTACGCAATACTTATAGTCTATAAATAAATATATTTAAATATAAATAGTAAAGAATAGGTATACAACTACATGAATGGCTGTATGGAAAATTGTAATGCAAAAAAAAAATGATAAGTATAATGGAATCTTCTCACTCACTTATCGGACCACAGTTGAGCCCCATTGACTCGACTAGTTCCTACCACTTAAGACTCAACCATCATCTCCTCCTCCTTCCTAGCTTTTTAAATTATTTTAAAGAAGGCACCTTCTCAGTTCGAACCCTCATTTAATCCTTTTTTGCTTATCCTTTCTGCTATTTCTTTTAGAGGCAACTATTCAGAAGTTCGCTTCCTCCTGATTCTTTGAAGTCTAGGGTCAGTGCAAGCATTAAATTATTAACGGTACCTCATTTTTTTTTAAATTATGCCTCTCTTTATCGGCTTCCGCCATCAGAGATCTTGCAGTCCAGTATCATTCCGACTTGGACGACGTGGTATCTCTTATGTTCAACAATTCATTCATACACCATGTAACTCATTTTGAAGATGCAAATATTTCTGAAATCATTGATTTTATTTTTATATCACTGAATTTTGTCAAGTTCCATGTTTCACACCCTTGTGTCAGAACTGATCGAATAAGGACATATCAAGGCGGAAGATTAGTTGATCGTAGTAGTGAACGGCTTTTTGTATGCTTCAGGAAGCCATGATGACATCTGCTTGCGGCAATAAGTCTTTCCTTCACCTTCTGGTTCATTACATTATCCGTAGATGTTTAGGAAACCTTCAAAATTTTAAATTATGGCAAGGCAAATAACTATCATAAGTTCTTAATCGGTAATATTCAAATTATGGCCAAAATTCTACCTTTTTATGCAGCGACTTTATTTTAATGGATTGGTAGGTTATACCAATTGTGCAAAAACATCTTATCATTTTTTTTATGCCAGCTTAAAACATCTCTTTACCTGAGGGCGCCCTTGGAGTATCTGTTGTCTCTGTGAATTAAGCTCTATTTTTTAGATCTTCTGATCTGCCCCCACCACTCGCCATAACGAGGAAATTTTGAACTATTTCGCACAAACAGTAGCCATTACCAATCCTTAATATTTGAACATTTGAATTTTTTTCAGTTGTCATACACATACTTGGTCTTTTCCCTGTTAACTTCAAGCTCAATCTTCTGGTGCTGCTGCCTCTGAGCTGTAAGTATTCGTCATAGCATTCATGCTTCTTCCAATAATACATGTATCATCGGCGTAAGGTAGAGTTTGGGTGCTTTTTGTATATACGTTGCCTGTTCTTCATTAGATTAAAGAGATTGCACGCCATAGTGTCACCTTAACTCAAACGTCATTTCCATCTTAATTTAATTGACATATCTCCTTGCACTCTTACACGGTAGCTGATGTACGTCATAGTCGGCCTGTTAATCTTATTAAACTTTTTCATTGCTTTTTCTAATATATATATATATTAGATATATATATATATATATATATATATATATATATATATATATATATATATATATATATATATATATATATATATATATATATATCATGAACTTTTTTTTAAGATTCGTCTTCGGCACTTCGAGATGGTCTCATGTGTCCCACCTATATGCCGAGCCAAAGTGGCTCTTCCCATCTTCCCGCCGCCTATACTTCCTTGGAAATTTCTTATACCAAACGATCAACTCCCAGCACCCTTCCTATATCTGTTGTCTCCTCCAGCCTAAACCCTTAGTCCACTCAGTAAATACGAGAGCCCGTGTTTCTGACCTCTATATTCCATTCCACAGGACAAAAACCTATGAACGTTTCTTCTTAGCCCGCTCCGTCTCCTACTGGAATTCTTTGCCACATAACATCCGTCATACCTCTTCCCTGTCAACTTTCAAATACCTCCTTTTCCAATATCTCCTTACATCCCAAACAGAAGATTTACCACCATAAATTTCATTTTATGAACTGAATTTGCGTGAAGTAAATAGTGGTGCCTACTGTTTAAGTTTTAACATAAAACAGCAATGATCTTTGTCACCTAATTTGGCTATTATTTTTACTATTTATTTATTTTCCTCTTCTCCTCAGGTTGTGCTTTTTTTATCGGATATATATGTTCATATTTTATATCTTTGTCTTTATGTGTGCCAATATGAGAATGTACGTATAAATAGTTCCTTTTAGTTATTTATTTTTTTTTTCCGTTACACCACAAGTATCGTAAGACTTTATTTTATCTTAGTGTCTGCATATTATTATACAAACCACTGTAGATATTATTTCATTTTGTATTAAGTTAGTTTTCTATTAGATAGGCTATTGTTTATAAATTGTGTAGTTATGTATATATAAATATGTAATTTCTCTTCTTTTTTTTTTCATCACAATTAAGTAATTTTGAGAAGATTTTATGTTCATTTGTATATATATTTTATTTTTTATGTTTTACTGGTTAAATACTTGTTAAATAATGTATATAATATTAAAATTTTTAGAAGTTAGTTTTTGGCCAGATTTGTACTTTACTTTGTATTAACTCATCATTGTTATTCTAAAGGGACTGAGTCCCAGAATAAAGTTTAATTTTCTATTCTATTCTCTCTCTCTCTCTCTCTCTCTCTCTCTCTATATATATATATATATATATATATATATATATATATATATATATATATATATATATATATATATATATATATATATATATATATATATATGTGTGTGTGTGTGTTTGTGTGTGTGTGTTTGTGTGTGTGTGTGTGTGAATTTAATTCTTGAATTCCTTCATTTTCTCCAGGGTATTCTTAATGTGAATAATTGGTCGATGAAGGACTTCTCCTTAGTGAAGCCACTACACACAAAAGGAGGTAGCCTTTTATTGTTATTATTAGCTAATAACATAGCTGTTATTAGATTGTTCTTATATATATATACAATATATATATATATATTAATGGTTTAAAAATAACTATAAAATAAGAGAGTACATTTTGGATTTTTTTATAAATTTTAATCTTATATCATATGTGTAGATTCTTATAAACAATATTTTTTAAGGACTAGTATCTCTTAAGGTTCCCTCTCTAAATAAATAGCACTTTAATGTATTTAAGAAAAATGAATTTCTGGTTACTATATATATATTATTAAAAGCAAGTATATCTTTGAGCGTGTTGTTCTAATCCTGCCAAGTCTTATCTTCAGATTCACGTTTCGGAAGTTCAGCTGCGGTGACATATCGTATTCAGCAGGAGTTGGCTGAGTATTAACTGTCTGTATTTAGTGCTGCTTCGTCTGAAAGTTGCTTACGTTCTGCGTCACTTATCTTGATGATGAATATCTTATAGCTCTAATGCACCTAGTTATAATGCATTATTTTTGATGTAAGGTAATTCACGACAGTTAATATTTGCTAAAGCAGTTTCTCATTTGACATTGAATACTGGAGAAGAAGAGAGGT